GTATAAATATTAAGAAAACTTAGCCCCATCTATCTAAACTTAACAATTTCATAGTAACCTTAATAACTGATGCCTAAACATATGGTGAAAAAGTTGCTAACCTATACAAGTTTGCGTCTCTGTATCATGTCCTGCAGAAGGGACATCAACCACCGACGTTATTTCCCTTCCAGTGTCCTCGTGTTGAGTGTCTGTTTCTGATAATATTTAGAGTATAAATAATCAAAAACTTAACTAATACGTAGACATAACAACCAATCTCTAACATATAGTGCAAAAGCAAGCTGACCTGTACAAATTAGCAGCTCCTTCGCTAGCGGGGACACCTTCTCTCCCTCGTTTATTTCTGCTTCAAGAGCCGTATCAATGCGATAGTTCTCTGGTGGAGGTACTTCCCCTGGCGGAGCATCTTCACTATCCTTGTTGATATCAGAAAAAATGGTTGTGGAGAGACCCTCCCTGTTGGACGGTCCTCGCTCTCCTTATTAGCTTCATCAAATAATGATTGATTAACATCCCCTCGTACTGTATATCAATGCCACCCACGGTGCATGGAGTGTCTGATTCAAAAAGTAAACAAATGAGCTTAGGTACTTCATTGTCAAAAAAAACATAGCATCAGTTACATAACCCTAACAACTAACCCAGATACTTAACAATCAATCTCTAACTTTGGCAATTAATCTGTAACCTTAACATTAGATCCGTAAAGTTAACAATAAATTCTTAACCTTAACAAAAAATCCAATCTGTAACCTTAACATTAGATCCGTAAAGTTAACAATAAATTCTTAACCTTAACAAAAAATCCATATACTTAACAATCAATCTTTAAACTTAACAAAAAATCCATATACTTAACAATCAATCTTTAAACATAACACGTAAACGTAATTGCAAGCCACACCTAACCTGTACAAGTTTGCGGCTCCGTCAATGAGCCGGACACCAATCTTGTAGGCCTCTTATCCTTAAATACAGAGAGGGTTCTGGATCGTACTTCGCTTAGTTCCTCTCTCAGTCTTCTATTTTGAGCAGACAGATTAGCCACATTCACAGAAAGAGCACTTATCTTTACACGGTCGGCAGCAATCATACCCTTGAATTTATTCTCGTTTTCTCGACGTAATGCTTGGTTCATTAACGCGATGCTCTTCCCGTAGATCACTTGTTGAGGCCATTCCATTTTGTCAACTGTCTCATTTGGTTGCTCGACGTCTTCATCAATATCCTGTGGCATCACCTATGCAATGGACAGATAGAGTATTATTAGAAGGATTAATTAATTAAAAAATAAATAAAATTCACAACTGTTAAATACTTACATCTGCATCAATTGGGATGTCATCTTCTGCTCCTCTCTTCTTCTTGTGAAGAATGTGTCTTGGACCACGCGCCCTGTCGGCGTCTACTACAGCCTTACCCTTAATCCTCCTCTTCTCTCTCTCTCTCTCTCATCTTCTCTCTCTCTATCCCCTGCTCCTTCCCCCAAAAACCTCCCTCGATTCTTTGAAGTTGTCCATGTTGCTGTGGAAGCTTTATCGTAGCTTTGCTTGCTTTCGCAACAACAGTGGCCAATCTCAAAGAACCAGCAACGTGCCCAAGTCTCACCCAATTTGTCAGGGGAGGCCTCACCGTACAACCAAGTGCTGGCTTCTTGATGCCCTTGCTCCTTCCCCCACAAACCTCCCTCGATTCTTTAAAATTGGCCATGTTGCTGTGGAAGCTTTATCGTAGCTTTGCTTGTTTTAGCTACAACAATGGCCAATCTCAAAGAACCAGCAACCTCTTTAAGTCTCACCCAATTTGTGAGGGGAGGTCTCATCGTACATCCAACTGTTGGCGTCTTGATGCCAGTAAGTTCATAGTACCACAACTGCACATTAGAGAAATAAAAACTTAACTAACATCTTTATGCTTAACAATTAATAAGTAACCCTAACAATAAAAACGTAATCTTAACAACCAAACCGTAACCTTGACAACCAAACCGTAACATTGACAACCAAACTGTAACATTAACAACTAAATCCTAACCTTCACAATCAGTAATAAAAGACATGATTACTTACACAAACTAGCAGGGTACACTCTTGAAGATATAAAGTTGTCTTCTCTGGCTCGGGCCCCTTCAGTGCCCTCCCTATCGCGTCAGAAGTCTCATTGAATATATAGGTTCCCCAAGCAGTGTTATTGGCTTGTTCGATGCTGTCGACGTACTTGAATCAATACCTAGGAACGCCGAAAACACTGCTTGGACACCAAATCATGCTCAGCTGATAGAGGATCTACAGCAGGATAAAGTCATTCACATCTCGACGATCAACCGATAGTACCAGCTTAAAGAGCAGTTGCTCCACATTACGCCTGGTGGGGCCTTCTTTGGGGGGAGCTATACTGCTGGCACCCTCTGCCTCGGATTTGTTAAAAAACCTGGACCAAATCCTTTTTTTTTTATATCCCGGTTGTGGTCAACAAGAAGCCCCTCATTAGAGAACCATGTATGTTTTATTACCCACTCAAGGTCGAATGAGCAGGCGATATCTTCTCCATCATTCCTATCTGTGAAGACGAATTTCTTCATTTTCTTGTCCCACTGACTCAAAATGTGCTCAAAGGTGGGAAGATCGACACCGGGTGGGCTAAAATGGACGTAGTGTCTGAATACACTATCTTCATAGCCTGCAAAGTGCCTTGGCTCCATATGCTACACCAAACTCCGCATGAAGTCATGATAGGCACTGAAGCTGACGGTGGGCCACAATGTAATAGTTGGCTTTGCCCTTTTACATAATAAAAACACAAGACATAAGCATTTTTGAGTATAATCAGTAAACATAACAACTATGCTGTAAACTTTACGGATAAACCAACAACCTTAATAATAACCCCATAACCTTAACAACCAAAACCTAACCTTAACAACCAAACAACAACCTCAATAATAAAAGCATGAACATTGCATGTTAACAGTAACCTCAACAGCTAACAGACACCTGTAATTTTGGACCTTCTCACCAGACTAGGAGCATTATCAATCAAACCATAATCTTAACATAAAACTTGCGGTAAAAATTACCTTTTGGGTGCTGCCACGTGCTTCTTTTTTTCTTCTCTCTGTAGACCAATGAGCGCTCTAGTGACATCGTTGGACGCGGCGGTGGTGTCGGTGCTGCCCTCTAGACCTTTGCGGGGGCCTACACTTAAATTTTAAGGTGGACTATTGGGTTGAGAATGGCTGGTTGCGATGTCCTCTAGAACATTAGCAATCACAACTTCAGCATCAGATTCAGTACGCACTGTAGTTATCTGGGTTCTTTGTGAGATTTCGAACTGCTGGGCGTCATCGCTTTCGCTGTGGTCGGCATGGAGGCTTGCTTTGGGGGTTGAATCGCCATCCATTTTAATCCATTTGCTTTGATTCGGTTTGCGTTGGAGTCGGTTGATTTAAGGCTAGGGTTTTGAATTAGGTTTCTGGAGTCGGTTTGCTTACAGAAGAGAGATGACAGGGTACAGACGAGGAGGTAACTCATAACGTAGAATTTTAAACGAAAGGGTATTTTGGGCATTTCATGAGGGGTTTAAACGGAGTTACGTCTGGGGATTTGTTTTGGGGGCTGAAAGAAAATCACGGGCGATTTTGGGGGCAAAACACCCGTTGAAAAAGTCTTGGAGGGGGGAGCACGTTTTCTTGTGTTTTGGGGACTGGAAGCATTTCTCCTTTTAATATGACCAATTCTAGCTTACATTAAAAGGTTAACTTTTTCTCTTTCAAAGGTTAGCCACCAGGCTTTAGTTGATGAAAAAAAATCCTAGCAGAGCTGAAGAGGTGTTGTCGATGGGTTTTAAGGTTTATGCAAAATTTGGATTAGCTGTAATTGTGAGAGTTGAATTATTGAAAGCATTTACTAGTCTGTATATGCTGCAGTTTGATAGGTTTTGTAAATATTCTTAAAGTTGTGCTTAGTGTGTGACTTTTGGGAAACTAAGATTTCATGCTTGGCTTTAAGCAAAACTCGTCCTTCCTTACTTAGAATATTGTAGTCAAGGTTAATGTTTACTCACATTCCAACCTTTCATGAGAGAGTCACTCTCTCCAGGTTAATTATTCTCATACCTGGTGAGTATGTTATAGATAATCTATTCCCTGAAAAGGCCTACTCTTCCTACCAACCATCATTGCTGCTATTTCTGTGTGCCAGAACATGTTAATTTCATCATCCTTTACTTACTGCTTGTTTTCTTAAGTTATTGAAGGCATTGACCATCAGATCCTCTTGCTATCTGCATTGCAACTTACAGCTCTAATAAAATTCCTTACAGACTGTCTGTCAGGTGAAGTTGTGGACTCAACTTCTTGATGATTGAGCACAAGATGTACTTCTAAAATCATTAGCAATACAGTGCCAACACTTTTATCACAAAATCATAATTTTGTGCTTCTTGGGAGTCCTCATGTTTTTTACACCCGAACCCATCTTCACTTGTCTCTAAATAATGCTGTACAACAATTCCATATTGAGTATGCAATCATATAACAGGGGAGGGAAAATGCATAGGACTCTAGAGGGCACAACGATAAGTGATGGAGTTGCACTTTCTATCTACCTATCTATTTATCTATCTACCCATCCAGAGACCTGAGTGGATCGGTTACTGAAATAATAGAGAAAATTTTAGCATCATGACGCCCTCTATGCGACACCCACAGCCGTGTTCGAGTTTTAGAATCTTCTAACAAAACCAGAGACGCGGATCGAACCACCGGTGCTTGAGATATCCACTCAGTTGTTTTGATATGGAGATCTCTCCAGGCGCATTGAAATATTCTTAATATCTTAATAGATAATTTGAGGTGGGTGAGTAAACAGTTCCCATTATTGAAAACATATGCCCTATTCTTCCATTTCCCTCTATAGTTGACCGTAATGATCTAGCTTCACGGTCCTTTCTCATATTTTTCCGTTGATTTTGTCCATTATTAACAATGCTTCTTGCAGGGGTCATGCTGCAAGACAATGTGAGGCTGCATTATCAGACACCAGAGATCAGTTCATTAAGCATTCCTCTTGTACTGACCATTCTAAATCAGCATCTCTAAAAGCTGGATCAGATGATGGTAAGAGAGACATTTTATCTAATATTGCGTCCTGAATAGTCCATGCGACCTTCTATACTCTTGACAACTAATTCTAATTTCTTGCTGTTTATGCCAGGGTTGTCGAGCACCACAGCAAATTTTCTAGAGATTGATGGAGTCTATCTGCCAGGGCTTTGTAAACCTGTTCCAATGGAAAAACCATTTCCCCAAGATTCCATCCAAAGCTCTACCCCAATGGTTCACTGCGAAGGAGGGGATCAAAGCATTGTCACGATGCCGAGCAAATACTCTGCTGAAGATTGCAACTCTTTTCAGTCTAAACACTCCAGTGCCAATTCTCTCATGGATGGTTCGATGATTAATGGATTATCCTCAGAAAATACTAGTAGATCAGTTGCTGCAGATGCTTACTCTTCTAGCAGCAGCATGAACAGTGAAGTCCCAAATGCATGCATGTCCAACGGTCACTTGGAACACGGTGAAAATGCCGATTCACATAATTCAGTAGAGTTTCCACAATATTTCCATGAAGGATACTGTAAAGTTTCAGAAGTCGATGATTATTGTGAGTCAACTGGAGCTGTTATAGATGCGAACAGCAGCAGCATTCACTGTGGAAAAGAAAAACAGGAAGAAGTTGGAGACAGTGATGACATGCTAGGAGGTGTATTTGCCTTCTCTGAAGAGGGTATACTTTTTCCGAAGATCCTACAAAATTTTACACTCAATTCCTTTTACTTTTCTGATGCCTTTTCTTTATTTCTATTTGTTTTCAGATACCTGTGAAACTGGCTGATTGGCACCTTTTGGCTTGCTGACATACTACCGGACAAGTCTATCCTAAGCGTGTATGGAATGAACTCCTTGGGAATAAGTATTCTGTTGGAGCCGGCTTAATGGAAGGCATCAAACTTGTATTATTATAACAGACATTTCTGTTTGCTTAGTGTTCATACATGCAATATATGAAAAAAGAAAAAAAAAGAGAAAAAGAGAAGGAAAAAAATGCAGCTAAGTCGATGTTATTTGTGCATTCGAGAGGGCGGCTTCAAGCCTTGAAGGTGTCGGGTAACATGCTATGCTTTGGTCTCTGCCCTCATCTCTCTTCTGTACATTCTGTACATGTGCATTGTAATTCATGAAGTAGGTGTTAGACATTGAAGTTATGTTCTCTTTAGTAGAGGTGAATTGTTCACTACTGCATTTCCCCCTACTTTTAAGGTGAATTAGTGTCATGTAATGGTTTGTACAGAAACTAAACTTCTAGTCAAGTTTCTAAGCTGGTTGAAGGCAATGGCCTTTGAATGCTCAAGGAATGAAGTTGTTCTGGACTTTTTATGTTGATATGCAAAATTCTATTATTATTATTGTTATTTTCATTCAGCGGTGATTTGATATGCTTTTCAACTGTTGCATTGAGATATGGCATTCTCGTATCTGATCTCCTTGAATTTTAGCACCAAAGGAGCGAAAGCGCGACGTCGTAACATTTGTACGAAAGCAACTAAAAGATTTATTTAAGTATTTAGTTTAAAATAAACCATGTATCTAGTTATTTATGAAAAACTATAAGTAATAACAAAATATAGTAATTTAAACTGTATATCGAGTTGTTGAAATATAAAGTGAGATAAAAATAATTCTGTTGAGTATCTTTGTGCCTAAAGAGTGATTTAGGAAAGGAATACATTTTGAAGTGAATGGGCGTAAACTTTTGATTTATGGACAAAAAACCAATTTTGAAGTTGGATGATTATAAATTTTATTAGGGATAGAACTTTAGGTTAGCATGTAAAAAACCCATCTATAATTTCATGACGATAACATGTGAAAGAAGTAAAACAATTGGGTTAAGCATTTGGTTGAAAATAAACACTGCCTACAAACATCTAGAAAAAGTTATGGAAAGTTATATAATTAAGAAATTTTACCGGAAAGCAAACAATATGTCACAGTTCAAAATTCATGATTTTTAAGAGTCCATAATGCTTTTTATTTTTTTTTCATTTTGACCAAATTAAAGATAATTAGGTTAAGTTAAAAATAAATAATTTCATGAGCTATAACCACGGTTTTATTCATTTTTATTTGTTTCTTGCAAAGTTTAAACTTTATAGTTAGAACCTATGATTTTTATCCATTTTTGTTTGTTTTTACTAAGCATGAAATAATTAAACAATGTTCGAAGTTCACAATTTTTATTAGCTATAACTCATGATCTTTGTTCATTTCAACCAAGTGACAAATAATTATACGGAGTTCAAAATTCATGATTTTATGAGCCATAATCCATAATTTTTGTCTATTTCATTCGTTTCGATCAATGACAAATAATTTTACGGATTTTAGAATTCACAACTTTATGAGCTATAACCAATGATTTTTATCCATTTTTTCGTTTGGACCCAAAGAAATTAAGCGAAGTTTGAACGTCAAATAATTATGGAGAGTTCAAAATTAACGATTTCATCATCTATAAGTCATGATTTTTGTTCATTTTCCTTTCTTTCGACCTAGTAAGAATAAGCTATATGGAGTTAAAAATTCATAATTTCATGAGCAATAAGCAATGTGTTGATTTTTAATCCAATTGAAATTAGTTTTGTGGAATCTAAAATTCACCATTTTATGAACTATAAATCACAATTTTTATCCATTTCTTTTGTTTGCATCAAGCAACAAATAATAAACTAGTGGTGAAATTTCATGACTTTCATGAGTTATAACCCATAATTTTTATTCATTTTTTTGTTTCGATCAAATGATAAATAGTTATATGCGGTTCAAATTTATACTTTCATGAGCTATAACCTACTATTTTTATTCATTTTCGTTCATTAATATCAATTAGTAAATAATTAACCAAACACGATTTCACGAGTTATAACCCACGATTTTTATTTATTTTTATTAATTTTGATCAAATGGAAAATAATTATGTGAAATATAAATTTCTAATATCATGAGCTATAATCCACTACTTTTTGTCCATTTTGTTTTAATCAAACAACAAATAATTAACCATAGTCCAGTGGTCACGATTTTCATGAATCATAATCCATAATATTTGTTCATGTACGTTCGTTTTGACCAAATGACAAATAATTATGTGGAATTATAAATTCAAGATTTAATGAGCTATAACTTATGATTTTTATCCATTTTTTTCACTTTTACCAAATAGCAAAAAATTAATTGGAGTTGTAGATTCGCGATTTTTATAAGCTACACATGAGTTTTGTTCATTTTTATTCGTTTTTCGATCAAATGAAAAACAATTATGTGGACCTCAAAATTAATGACTTCATGAGTTATAACCCATGAGTTAATCCACTTTTTTAACCCAATGACAAATAATTTTACGGAATTTAAAATTCACTTTTCATGAGTTGTAACCTAAGATTTTTTGTCCATATTTTTGTTAAATCGCACAAAGTAGTGATTAATTAACAGAGTAAAAAATTCATGATCTTCATAAGCTACAACCCATGATTTTATTTCATTTAAGTTCATTTTGACTGAATGACAAATAGTTATGCGAAATTAAAAATTCACAATTTCCATGAATTATAACTGACAGTTTTTGTTCATCTAAAAAAAAGATAAATAAGTATATGAAATTTAAAATTTAAAATTTCATGAATTATAATCTATGATCTTGTCTATTCTTATTTGTTTCGACTCAATGACAAACAATTTTGTGGAGCTCAAAATTTATGATTTTATGATCTATAACCAATGATTTTTTTTCATTTTTGTTTATTTTGATCTAAAGACAAGGCATTACACCAAGTTCAAAGTTCATATTTTCATGAGCTATAAGCCATTGTTTTTATCAATTTTGACCGCACGTCAAACAATTTTTTGATGTTCAAAATTTACAATTTCATGATGTATAACAATCAAGTTTTTACCATTTTTTCTTCGTATCGACTCAATGACAATAAATTAATTGGAGTTCAAATTTCATAATTTTAGGAGCTAGAAGCCATAATTTTTTGTCCATTTTTGTTGTTTTATATCTAATGACAAATAATTATGCTGAAGTTCAAAATTTAGATTTCATGAGCTATAAACAATAATTTTTTTACACTTTTCATTTGTTCCAACCTATGGAAAATAATTTTGCAGAATTAAATATTTAACATTATAATTTGCGATGATCCACGCTGTTGTGTATTTTTATTTGTTTTAACTAGATGGAAAAAAACTATGTGCGGTATAAAATTCATAATTTCATGAACTATAACATATATTTTTTGTCATTTTAGGTCATTTTGACCTAATGACAAATAAATTTTAGAGTTTAAAATTAATATTTGTATGAGCTATAACCCATGATTTTTATCCGATTTTGTTTGTTTGAACCAAGTAGCAAATAATTAAGCGGAGTTAAATATTCAAGATTTTCTTGATTTTTTTTTCATTTTTGTTCTTTTTGACCAAATAGAAAATACTTATATGGAGGTTTTCACTATTTCATGAGTTATAACTTGCAATTTTGTCTTATTTTTATTTCCATCAACTAACAAATAATTAATTGCAGTTAAAAATTCAAGATTTTCATGAGTTGTTACACGATTATTATTCATTTTTGCTTACTTTACTAAATTACAAATAATTTTGCGGAGCTTAAAATTCACGACTTCATGACTTATGGCCCACGATTTTTGTGCATTTTGACCAATGTCAAGTAATTTTGATGTCAAGTAATTTTGCCAAGTTTAAATACATGATTTTATGAGATACAACCCATTGTTTTTATCTGTTTTTATTTGTTTCCAAGAGGAAATAATTAATTGTAGTTCAAAATTCATAAATTTCATGAACTATAAACCTACATTTTTAGTTCGTTTATGTTTATTTTGACCAAATGACAAAACATAATGTGGACTTCAAAATTCATGATTTAGTGAGCTACAACTTACAATTTTTATCTATTTTTTTTACTGAATAGCAATAATTAATTGGAGTTTAAAAATCACGAATTTTTTGAGCAAGAATTTTTATGTTTTTTACCAAATAGTATAATTAATTGGAGTTTAAAAATCACGAATTTTATGAGAAATAACCTATGATTTTTGTTCATTTATGTTTGTTTCAACTAACTCATAAATAATTATACAGTGTTAAAAATTTAAAATTTAATAAGCTTTAACCCACAATTTTGTCCTTTTTTGTTCACCAAATACCAAATAATTAGTCAGAATGCAAAATTTCACAATTTTCATGAACAATAAATCATGATTCTTGTTCATTTTTATTTCTTTCGACCAAATGGAAACTAATTGTGCAAAATTTAAATTTAATATTTCATGAATTATAACCCATGATTTTCTCCATTTTTGTTTATTTTCACCAAAGAGTAAATATCTAATCGGACTTCAAAATTTACGATTTAGTTTCAAAAAATTTGAAACTAATTAGGATTTTTCATTTCCGTTTGTTTCAACCCAATTGAAAATAATTTTGCTTAGTTTAAAAGTGACTGTTTTATGAGTTGTAGCCCATGATTTTTTTATTTTCGCATTGTGCACTAAGTAGTAAATAATTAACCGGAGTTCAATTTTCCTGATTTTTATGAGTTATAACCCATGAATCTTATTAATGTTTATGGTTTTTCTACCAAATGACAAATAATTATGTAGACTTTTAAATTCATGATTTTTAGACCCATGATTTGCGTCCATTTTTATTTATTTTCACCAAAAGGCAAAATACGTAACTCAAGTTTAAAATTCAAGATTTTCGTGAGCTATAACAACTAATTTCTATTCATTTATGTTTGTTTCGATCAAATAGCACATACTTATGTGGAGTTTAAAATTCAACATTTTATAAGCTGTAACCCATGTGTTTTGTTAATTTTCATTGATTTCAACAAAATAGCAAATTATTAATCATAATTCAAAATTCGTGAATTTCACCACCTATATAACCCACATACTTTTGTTCATTTTGACAAACCAAAAATGATTATGTGGACTTCAAATTTTCACGATTTCATGACCTATAACCACAAATTTTGTATATTTTCATTAGTTTTCACCAAGCTACGAATACTTAGTCTAAGTTCAAAATTGATTTTCTAGGACATAACCTATGATTTTTGTTTATTTAAGTTTTTTTCGATCACATAGAAAATAATTACTTGGAGTTCAAAATTTCCTATTTTTTAAGCCATAGCACATGATTTTTGTCCATTTTTATTCATTTTGGCTAATAGCAAATAATTAACTAGAGTTCATTCATAACTTTTATGACCTATAATCCATGATTTTTATTTTATTATTGTGTTCATTTGTCCATTTAGACTAAATGTAAATAATTGTGTGGAGTTCAAAATTTATGATTTCATAAGCTATAA